GAGGCGCTGGTGGTTGTCGTGAGTAGAAAAGGAGGTTGCTGTGTTCCGTTTTTCGGTGGCGATGGCGCCCGGCGTTGTGAAGTAGCGGTTAGTATTTGAGGGGGTTGGTTTGAGGAAAGGAGGACGGTGATTCGCAAGGGAGCGAGTACTTATACAGAGACAGGAGAAATCCATATTGGCTGACTATTTGCTTTTTAGTTCAAGGGGTGTTTACAGTGGTGTGACCCGCCGCCTATTCTGGTCAGGGTCCAGCTCGGATCTACCACTCCGCCGTCTCCCTCCGCTTTCACCTGTCAGCTTCCATCGTCGAACCTTGTTCCCTTGAGGCCTAGCCCAAACGTGCGTTTCGTCCTCAACATCCAAGTCAAGTGCCAACGATGGCCTCCTTGCTAATCCCGGCTCTTGCGCAGTCTCAGCCGCAACCTACCAGACCCAAGTCAGTGCTCCTCCCCCTTTAGGCAGTGGGAGGGTTTGGGCTTTGACGTAAACCTTAGATCTTTTAACCTCTCTACGCAGAAGACCCAGAGAAACGCGCGCGTGATGCAAATCGGTGAACAAGGCACGCGATAAGGCCTTGCGTTACAGAAAATCCATACGCTCGTCCCAAGAGGGCAAGTATATCCATCATTCCCCCGATAGTCCGCATCGATGTCCGCTCGATAGCCTTGGTCCCAATCCCTTGCCGCTCATATGCATCCCTCTTGCCTATTGCATTGCTCAGCAGAATCGGTCACTGAAGAAGTTCAACGAAAAGTCAATATCACCCCTTCGTCATCGCCTCCACATGCCCGCCAACGCTAAACGCACCTTTTTAATTTCGCCCGTCTGTCTAGCAGGGCCTCGGACAAATTACCATCCTTCCGGGCCTTCTTCAGCTAGTGATGGGATAAGATAATAATGGAAGAGGGGGTAATGTGATCAGCGCCACCAGCCAGAGGGGGACCAAAAGCCGCCAAACGAGGGCACTCACCTCCTTTCGATCGCCTTCCGACACAACACTTCGGCCAGCACCCCACGCCTGGAATTTCTTGCTATACTCGTCAACCAGTCCACATCACAATGCACGCGACGGGAGCCGTCAAGAGTATGGGACGAACGTTCGATGTCGAAAGGAAAAAAAAAACGAGATGTCGAGTATAAGTCAGCAAATAGTCTCGCACGCACACCAAGCCGGGGAGGTGTGAAAACTTAAACACCACGACTTTTCCG